AACTATGTTCAAGTTATTACTTACCTTGCTGTTGAATGCTGTAGGCGTATGGAAGATGGTGAGGAGGTGGGAGGAGGAGAGGAGTTACTGTTTGGAAGGGAGTCCCCTTCCATTATCACATCAGGCAGTGAGGACTTTTCTGGTGTGCTCTCCATGGGACGTTTTATCTGAGTGCCACTAGGTCCTGGTTGAGGCTCACTGCTCAATTTCCTCACCACAAATCTGTCCATGGAAGCTTGCTTTTCCCTTCTTCGCAAGCTCTCTCTGTAGTAAGGCATCACATTGTCATTGAAAAGATTAAGACAACGGCCTACTACTGCTTTCTCTGGGTGAGTTTTTTCAACAATTGTTTGAATCTCTTCCCACATCTGACACACCTTCTTAATTACTGCAGAAGGGACATTCGCTGCTGCTGCCTCCTCCTCCACTGCAGAATCATCCGCTGCTGCGTTGTCTTGCTGTTCCTGTTGAAGGGCTAGGAGTTCTTCGGTGGTCAGTTCTTCGTTGTGTTCTTCCACCAACTCCTCCACATCATCACCATCCAATTCCAAGCCCATTTGCTGGCCTAGACTAACAATTTCCTCAACAATAGGCGCATCATTTATAGGCTCAAACCCCTCAAAGTCTAGTTCTCTCACACATTCAGGCCACAATTTTCTCCAGCCAGAGATCAGGGTTCTTTGAATCACTTCTTGCCAGGTTTTGTCAACGAGTTTTAAAGCACTACAAATGTTAAAATGCTGTTTCCAGAACTCTATGAGGGTGAGCTTTGTAGCTTCAGTCACTTCAAAACATTTCCGAAAAAGTGCCCTTTCATAAAGTTTCTTAAAATTCGCTATGATTTTCTGGTCCATAGGCTGAATTAGAGGAGTGGTGTTAGGAGGAAGGAATTTAACTGTGAGGAATTTATTGTATCTGGACAACAAATCATCTTCCAAGCCTGGAGGATGAGCAGGAGCATTGTCGAGGAACAGAACGGCTTTGAGTGGCAAATGTTTCTCCTGCAGATATTTTTCTATGGCAGGGCACAGCACTTCATTCACCCACTCCGAAAAAATAAGCCTAGTCACCCATGCTTTTTTATTAGCCTTCCACATCACACACAAATGGGTTTTCTGCACTTTATACTGTTTGAAAACACTTGGATTTTCAGAATGATACACTAGCATGGGTTTAATTTTCAAATCGCCACTCGCATTTGAACACAGCATAAGCGTAAACCTATCTTTCATAGGCTTGTGTCCAGGCAAGGATTTTTCCTCCTTGGTAATGTATGTCCTCTTAGGCATTCTTTTCCAATGTCCTGTTTCGTCACAATTAAACACTTGTTGCGGTAGGTATCCCTCAGCCTCTGCAAACTCTTTAAATTCGTCAATATATCGTCCAGCGGCTGATTTGTCTGAGCTGGCTGCCCCCCCATGCCTTGTGACACTATGGATACCACTCCTCCTAAATTTTTCAAACCAGCCCCTGCTTCTTGAGGTTATCTTGAGATGATTTCGGGGCTTTAGTGTCCCCGCGGCCCGGTCCTCGACCAGGCCTCCACCCCCAGGAAGCAGCCCGTGACAGCTGACTAACTACCAGGTACCTATTTACTGCTAGGTAACAGGGGCATTCAGGGTGAAAGAAACTTTGCCCATTTGTTTCTGCCTCGTGCGGGAATCGAACCCGCGCCACAGAATTACGAGTCCTGCGCGCTATCCACCAGGCTACGAGGCCCCTGCTTGCCTTAAACTCTTTCGTATCTGCATCACTCGTTGCAGGGTATTCTTTAGAAGGTCTTCGTGCAACACCCTGGCTTTCTCATAAATAATGGCCTCTGAAACACTATCACCCCTTAACTTTTTGTCGTGTATCCAAATTAATAACAACTTTTCCACTTCTTCAAGTATTTCTGGTCTTTGTTTCGTTATTTTTCTTACTCCTTTTGCCACTTTAGCACCCATAATCTCATTTTTCTTCTTAAGTATAGTGCATATTGTTGATGTGGCTTTGTTGTACTGCCTACAAAGTTCAACAACACGTGTAACGTTCTCATGCTTCCGAATGATCTCTTGTTTCTCCTCTATTGTCATCCTCACATGGGCTTTCTGGCCTTTATCCTTACCACTGCTTTCTTGGGACCCATGGTGAGATATATAATAACAAATTGTATAGTCAAATCACCAAAAATCCAACAAAACACTGAAAATCCGCGAGAAGAATTGATGTGGGGTAGTCACTGAGCTCGAGACAATGGTAAACTGAGGGGCGGCGGGGCGGAGGGGCGACGATCGCCAAACCACCACGCGCTAGGTCGGCCTGTATGCGTATCAACAAACTCGCGTCCCGAGGTAACCCTCGCGTTCCGAGACATATTTTTCGAGGAAATCCTGCTTGTCTTCCAAAAAACTCGCATACAGGGACACTCGCATTCTGAGGTACCAATGTATATATATATATATATATATATATATATATATATATATATATATATATATATATATATATATATATATATATATATATATGTCGTACCTAGTAGCCAGAACGCACTTCTCAGCCTACTATGCAAGGCCCGATTTGCCTAATAAGCCAAGTTTTCCTGAATTAATATATTTTCTCTAATTTTCTTCTTATGAAATGATAAAGCTACCCATTTCATTATGTATGAGGTCAATTTTTTGTTATTGGAGTTAAAATTAACGTAGATATATGACCGAACCTACCCAACCCTACCTAACCTAACCTAACCTATCTTTATAGGTTAGGTTAGGTTAGGTAGCCGAAAAAGTTAGGTTAGGTTAGGTTAGGTAGGTTAGGTTGTCGAAAAATAATTAATTCATGAAAACTTGGCTTATTAGGCAAATCGGGCCTTGCATAGTAGGCCGAGAAGTGCGTTCTGGCTACTAGGTACGACATATATATATATATATATATATATATATATATATATATATATATATATATATATATATATATATATATATTGTGACGATAATCTCTTTCAAGAGAGATTGAGCCTGCTCTTCCCTACATAATTACCTCAAAATACAAGATACAATATACAAGATACGTTCACCAAGTATCGCCAAACGTTTTGCCCAGAGATCAAATCGTACCCCAACACCTGGCCACCGCCGTAACCAGTTAACTGCTCATCCTTTGCCTGCCTGTTGCTGATTGGCTGGTGTCTCGTCGCACCTGCCCTCCGCAGCAACCACAAGTCGACGTCTGGGCTGCAGTGCGCCAGTCTCGTCAGAATATCTCAGTGCTCCATGCAGATGACATCTCTCGCTGGTAGACTAAGCCTTGGCTTTTGTGTACTAAGGGCGGTGGCAGCTCGAAGCCAGTATTCCAGCACTCATATTTTATTTTGCTATCACGATAACTTACTTGTCTTAGCGTAACTTTTCATTTGCCAGTGATTATTCATGTTATTTTGTTTGTTGACTTGTCCTGCATATTTTTATGAGATTGCCTTTATTCATGTCTTGTTTTCTAGAGTTATTAAAATTTCATTGTTTATATACTTGTGTTTTGTGTGTCTTCCCATTACCTTACCACAGACGAAAGGACCAACTTTTCTCTTTTTTTTTTGTCATGTGACGAGGCCCTGCCCCTAGCTTTTGAAACAGCCGAACACCAACGCTTTACCGTCACAATATATATATATATATATATATATATATATATATATATATATATATATATATATATATATATATATATATATATATATATATATATATATGTCGTACCTATTAGCCAGAACGCACTTCTTAGCCTACTATGCAAGGCCAGATTTGCCTAATAAGCCAAGTTTTCATGAATTAACTGTTTTTCGACTACCTAACCTACCTAACCTTACATAACCTAACTTTTTCTGTTACCTAACCTAACCTAACCTATAAAGATAGGTTAGGTCAGGTTAGGTAGGGTTGGTTAGGTTCGGTCATATATCTACGTTAATTTTAACTCCAATAAATTTTTTTTTACCTCATACATAATGAAATGGGTAGCTTTATCATTTCATAAGAAAAAAATTTGAGAAAATATATTAATTTTGGAAAACTTGGCTTATTAGGCAAATCGGGCCTTGCATAGTAGGCCGAGTACGACGTTCTGGCTACTAGGTACAACATATATATATATATATATATATATATATATATATATATATATATATATATATATATATATATATATATATATATATATATATATATATATATATATATATTTCATACACTGATGGTTTCTGGTGTCTGAACCTCAAAGCGGAATCCCGTAGTCTTATCAAGCCCCCTGTGAGCATCATCACTACAGAAGGATTCCAGCCAGTTGGGCACAAGTTGAGCCCCAGCTGGGACTTCATGCCATTCCTGGTGTGCCACAAAGCATGGATGTATACAGGTGCTCTACCTTCCACTCACGTTAACTGATAACCACATTCAAGTCCGTAAAATCATTTAGTTCACAATTAGTTACATCAGTAATATTTGTGATACGCTTGGACCTTAAAACTAGGCTGGGATCAGGTGGGTGCGAAAGGAACTGGCCCTGAAGGTCAGGTATGGGGGGAAAGGAACTGGCCCTGAAGGTCAGGTATGGAGGAATAAGAGCTGGCACTGAAGATCAGGCGTTAGGAACTAGCCCTGAAGGTCAGATGTGGGGGAGAAGAACTGGCCCTGTAGGTCAGGTGTGGCGGGAGGAAGTGGCCCTGAAGGTCAGGTGTGGGGGAGGAACTGACCCTGAAGGTCAGGTGTGGGGGAGGAACTGGCCCTGAAGGTCAGGTGTGGGGGAGAAACTGGCCCTGAAGGTCAGGTGTGGGGGAGAAACTAGCCCTGATGGTCAGGTTAGGTGGGAGGAACTTGCCCTAAAAATCAGGTGTGGGGGAGAAGAACTGACCTTGATGGTCAGGTGTGGGGGGAGAAGAACTGACCCTGAAGGTCAGGTGTGGGTGGAGAAGAACTGACTTTTAAAGTCAGGTGTGGGGGTAGAAGAACTGACCCTGAAGGTCAGGGGTGGAGGGAGAAGAACTGACCCTTAATGTCAGGTGTGGGGGTAGGAGAACTGACCCTGAAGGAGAAGTTGTTGGAGACGTCGTGATCGACGACGGTGAGGGTGGCGAGGACTTGGTCCCGGGTCAGACTCTCAGACACGTCCAGCGTCCACTCTGGCCGTGAGAACCTCGGCGGCACATCGTTCACGTCCCCCACTTCAACCACCACCGTCCCTGTCCCTGCAGGGGAAGGAAACACTGTTCAGGGAGACACTTTTCAATGTTCCTGCCCTTGTCCCTGAGGAAGAGGCTGGTTCAGGGAGACAATTTACACAGCAACCAATGCAACACACAAATATTCCCACAGGAATATAAAGGAAAGGGGAAACGGCTAAGGCTATGGGGAAAAGTCTATGGGGAGGCTAAGGCTATTGGGAAAAGTCTATGGGGAGGCTACGTCTATGGGGAAAAGTCTATAGGGAAGGCTAAGGCTATGGTGAAAGGCTATAAGTCACCAGATTTGAAGTACAACGTTGGTCTTTCACTCCCATAAGAAACGACTGTTCACAGGTTGGCTAATTAACTCTTTCATGACATGAATACCGTCAGTATTGATAATACAAAGGTGTCTGAGTAGCCAGTGCTAGGTCATAAGCTTAGTTACTTGGTGCATTACAAAGAATTGCCAAGGCACTTAAACAGCAATATAGCATGAGATCAAAACAAGTTTGTTTGTTCATAATGTTACAAACAATCTAAGGTGCAGATATGAGGAACATTACTTGTTAATTCTATTTTCTAAATGTGTACACAATAATATACTGAAAAATATAATTTGCTAATCTGTTTACTTTGTTTACCGTGAGATTAAAAGACAAGAACTTTCCTTTGTCTTGGGGAAAATGTTTGCCACTATGAATTTTAGAACAAATACCTCGAGTTATATTAAAAATGCAAAATTAAAAGACTTTCAGAGGGAATGATTGTCATGCTACCTAATGATTTTAAATATTTATATCAAATTTCTTCAGCCCTGTAAATTGTGAATCAATTTAACTCTATAATCATGATTCGTTTTATTTATTTCAGTCTGGATATGACTGTTGATCAGTGCTGAACACATAATATGACAATCATCACTACCATAACTATCACTCTCTCGCATTACAACGACCACAACCTTAGTCAGCACTCCATAATAGGCAGTATAGAAATAAAATTACTTTCTCCGACTGAAACGCGAAAAATCTTCCAATGAAACTGAAAAATCTATACTGGATATTTGTCCTAGCCTCTGTGCTCTGCTTGCTTGCTCTCCTGTCAACATTCACTCACAAATGTATTTATTCATTTACTTTCATCAAATGTGATGTTAATCATGCAACTTTTTTTATTTGTTTCCAATATGTCATAATTTGCATTTATCAGCATGAAAATGCGTCTACTAATTGTTAATTTGACACAATAATTATTGGGTCTTAGTCAGCTTTATATTTCCTTTGTTTGGTGCTGCAAATTTGCTTCCCAGTTTAGTCTTCACTAAATTAAAATATAGAATAAGTCCTTATCGATCTTTTAAATGAAGAGCAAATCTGGTCCCAAGGTTAAACGCTGTGACACTCCTCTTGAAATTTCTATCCATCCGGATGCATTTCTATTTTGAAGTAGACTTATGTGTCAGGATAACCAATTTTGCAAGACAAACTTAATGCAAAACCACCTATTTCATTTTTTTTAATTATTTTCGTCGGGGAACTTTCTTGAATGCTTTCTGAAAATCACACGATATCTAGCTCCTTACTTTCAACACATATATAAAAAGTATTACAAACGAAATTAAGATAATTAATAAGATCAATTTGAGAATATTTTTTGAAGTAGGACTGTGGGATCGCACCTCCATCCGGGGTGACCTCGGTCACGCATCTAGGGTCACCCAGGACGCTAATTTGATCCCTATCCTACTTCAAACATATTGTCATGGATATATCTCGTTATTGTGATTTCATTGTATACACACATGATTTTTATGCTAACCATTTTGATAATTAAATTATCTTGACTCCCAATAATATACTATGAGTTCTCGAATTATTGGTTTCAGGAGTGTACCGACTACCGACGATCAGCTGATTGGCCGGTTGGCTGATTTGATTACAAGAAGAATAAATTTATTTGGTAGAAGTTGACGTGACATTGGCACGGTTTCCCTTCTTGCGGAACTGCTCCTGGCTTGAGTGACATTGAAAGTATGGTCAACTTTGCCTACTCTCAAGCTAAACGAAATTTCTTTCATCCTAAACCTGCTTCCAACACTAGTAGCACTGTACTAAGCCTTCCCTTCGTGTCTGAACTCAAAACTTTTACTAAAACCTTTCGTCCTCTTGACATAAAGCTCGCCTTTCGACAAACTAACACACTTCGTAGCAATCTAGTTCACTCTGCTCCTCCTGCTTCTAAGGTTGCTGGTGTCTACTCTATTTCTTGTTCGTCTTGTCCTCTCCAATATTTTGGCGAAACTGGCTATACACTTAATGACACACTTAAAGAACACAAGAGAAGTTTTAAGTCTGCAAACACTAACAATGCTCTCTTCTGTCTTGTGAGGGATTCTAATCATCCTATTGATTGGTCTTTCTCCAAAATAATCTTTCCTGCCTCTACTCTACGCAAACGCCGTCTTGTTGAATCGGCTCTAATACACACCGTACCCAACATGTACTTGAGTCCTGGCTTTGTTGCTGTGGACTCTTCCCTTTCACAGTATATACTCAAATGCTCGAATCTTTCCAACAAACGTGACCTAACATAAGCTTACTCTTCCATTTATCTTTCTTTCTCTTTCATTTTCTTTTTCTCTTCTCTCTTTTTTCTGTTCATTGTTTTCTCCTATGTTCGCTTGCTATTCTCTTCTTATTCCTATTACTATCCCCTTCTCATTCGATGGTTATAATAGGAGCTGCCTCGTATGGGCCAATGGGCCTTCTGCAGTTCTTATTCCTACTACTATTACCTCTACTACACCTTACCTTGCTCCTCACCTCTCTCTTGCCTACTTATTGGCTGCATCAACTTCCTCATCGCATCTCCCGCTAACACATCACAAGGCGCAGTGTGGTCACAATGCGACCCAAACGTCTTAAGGTCAGAGCTACTCCACTTGGTCATGCTATCGGAAGAAGCAATACTTTAAAGGTCCTGAAGGACGTAACTGGCCTCAAACCCCCTGACACTAGTCAGGAAGGTGAAGATATCGTGCTCTACTTTTCATGTGAAGAGGAGCTAGAAAAACTCCTCACTAACGATGCCTTTCTTCGCAAAGAGCACTACCTACATCCTCACTTCCCACGTCAGTTCCTGACCGGAAGAACTGTCTTTACCAGCAGGACCAGCCGGTGGATCGCTGACCGACCTCAACATCATATCATAAACAATATCGAGGACGAAAATCCAAACCTGTCGGTATTCAACCTAGAGTTCTGCAACACCGACAAAACATCAATGAAGATTAGGTTCACCACCATAGCTGCGGCAACCCAGGCTGCCACACAAGGATTCTACTGCTTCGGCCTAAAAATACCACCCCACCAAATAAAAAAGGAACGATACCATGAGATCCAGAAGTGCTTTAAGTGCTACGAGCTCTCCCACCCGACCAACAAGTGTCAGCACCCTGTCCAGAGGTGCAGCCTGTGCGCACTGGACCATCACTACTCCATATGCAAGGCAACAGTCCATCACTGCTTGCTCTGTGATGGCAATCACCCCGCATTTCCTACCGCTGCCCCCGCAGACAGGAAATCATCAAGGCCCAGGTTGAAGCCAAAAGAAACAACCTGTCTACCTCCTCGACCAGAGCCCCAAGCGTTCAACCCACCACCTTAGCTCTCACTAGTCGACCAGAAGACTTTCCGGTCTTACCAACAGGTGGCTCCTCCCAGCAGGCGACACAGCCTTCTCATTGTGGACCCAAGGTCCCACAGGCTCCTTCACAGCCCCCTGCATCACGTGCAGGCATTATCCCAGGTCTTCTTAAACTAGCGGAAAGGCTTGCAGGACCAGACAACCATCGCTTTGTCAGTGAACTAAACGCATTATACATAGACAATGGCCTGGCCCCCATCATAGCCACTAGCGTAAATCTCACTGCTTCCTCTACGACTCCGGAGACTACCACCAGGACGACCAGGTGGTCAACTTCAACACCGACTCCAGAACCACCCATGACCCGGGCGACACAAACAGAGGTAATTCCTTCTCCAGCTCCCAACACTCCTACCATCATTATCTCAGCAGCCGCACTAGCAGACGTGCTGTCTACAAACAATAACAGCACCACCAGCGCTCCTGAAATAGCTACAACCACCAATCAACGACACCTAAACCTACCTAAGGCTGCGAGGCGAAAGACAAAAACGCCCACTACGGAGGTTACGGACTCCTCAGACGAAATCATAGTAGGAGCTCCACCGCCGCATCACAAATACGACACCTTCACGGTTCAAGACTTCCTCATGGAGGCCACGTCACCAAACTCTAATGACAGCGCTGCTCAGCCAAAGTCGCAGGCAAAGAAAAAACGGAAAACCTAGAGGTCTACACTAACCCCACCAGCTCCATAACTGGTATAGCCAGCCCTCCAGGCTGAAAACCATCATGAAGACCCCCATCCATCGCCACATCTCTAGTATCAGCCACTGATACAGATAATGGCTCCAAAGAGCCTCCACTTACGGGCTGACCATAGCCCGTGCTACTGGAACTTATTGTTCTGAGTAGCGAATCTTAAACAACATTCCTCATCGTCATCAAGCACACGGAAGACATCTTCCGTCACGCAGGGTGCAGTCGCACCTCCACAGATCTCCAGTATCATCTATTGATACTGGTGATGGCTCAAAAGGGCCACCACTTACGAGCTATTCATGCCCGTGCCACCTTTTGGGTGGCTTCATCTTCATCTTAACACATTCACAAGGGAGACATCTCCCGTCATGCAGGGTGCATTCGCACCTCCACAGATATCCAGTATCAGCTCTTGATACTGGTAATGGCTCAAAAGGGCCACCACTTACGGGCTATTCATGCCCGTGCCACCTTTTGGGTGGCTTAATCTTCATCAATCAATTCCTCATCGCCTCCACAGATCTCCAGTATCAGCGCTTGATGTTGGTAATGGCATCATGCCCGTGCCATCTTTTGGGTGGCTTAATCTTCATCATCAATCAATTCCTCATCGACAGACACACATAGCACTGCTCCTGTGCCAGGTAAGTCCACTACGGGCTCACCATAGCCCGCGCTACTTGCCCCGCTCCTGTGCCAGGTAAGTTACGGGCTCACCATAGCCCGCGCTACTTGCCCCGCTCCTGTGCCAGGTAAGTCCACTACGGGCTCACCATAGCCCGCGCTACTTGCCCCGCTCCTGTGCCAGGTAAGTTACGGGCTCACCATAGCCCGCGCTACTTGCCCCGCTCCTGTGCCAGGTAAGTTACGGGCTCACCATAGCCCGCGCTACTTGCCCCGCTCCTGTGCCAGGTAAGTTACGGGCTCACCATAGCCCGCGCTACTTGCCCCGCTCCTGTGCCAGGTAAGTTACGGGCTCACCATAGCCCGCGCTACTTGCCCCGCTCCTGTGCCAGGTAAGTTACGGGCTCACCATAGCCCGCGCTACTTGCCCCGCTCCTGTGCCAGGTAAGTTACGGGCTCACCATAGCCCGCGCTACTTGCCCCGCTCCTGTGCCAGGTAAGTTACGGGCTCACCATAGCCCGCGCTACTTGCCCCGCTCCTGTGCCAGGTAAGTTACGGGCTCACTTGAAACTGCTTGAAGCTTGTTCCGTGTAGCTGAATTTATAACAACAACAACAACTTCCTCATCACAATCGACTTGGGAATGGTCCAGGACGGACCGAAACGTCGTCTTCCATTCACCTTCTGGTCTGGTCAACATTCTTCAGCCACGTTATTGTGACTCATCGCCTGATATAAAACATGTTTCAGTTCCATTTACCACAGGTAAATACCGAAGCAAAAAAATCATATTTAATATCCTTCCCGTCTCTTCTAAGTCAACATTTATACTGCTGTGTAACTAATAGACTTGGAAAGCTAAAAAAAAAAAAAAAGTTTTCTCCATATAAAACAAATATATTTTCGGCTTGCTGTGCTATTTTCTGCAATATGTAATTCATATTCTAGAATGCCAAGTTGAGCAAGTTTCTTTGCATTAAATTCTAACATAATATATTTTCCTGTATTCTCCACATTGCGTTCTGGTAATTTTTGATGAATAAAATAAAAAAAATATATGTGTAATTTTTTAGTTCATTATTCAACCAGTTTGGTTTGATGGATACTTTTGATCAGTTGCTTTCCTTCAGTGAGATACTTTTTATTTGGATATGAAAACTCTTCAAGCAGTTCTGCTAAATTTTCAAGCTTAAAATCTGGAACTTTTTTGCGACCACTATTTCTTTCATAAAATAAATGATATTTGATCAGATTGAACGATGATCACTTCAACTAAACTCCCCACATCATCATTTACAAACTCCTTACTAGTAGTTAGAAGTAAATTCAAGCCATGTGCCTTCCGATTGGCTAATTTACCATATGAACTGGAATCTAGTATTAGCATCCAGTAAATAATTATATCGATATATTATGCAACAGATTCATGCATTTTTGGGAAATCTAATTGTGACTGTCAGTTATCTTTCATGGTATTATCACCGAAGGATTTTATATTGTGCCCTTCATGCTCTGTGCTCAGTTATTATCCCTCTTATCAATAGCTGTTTATGTTTGATTTATGAGACGGTTCTCCTTGCCTAAATATTGATATCTCTCACATTATTGTATTTTTGTTACCTACTCTGATACCTGGAGATTTACTATGCCACGCGTTACTACTAATGCTGGCAACTTTACATTGTCGCTGCTATAGTGAGACACAGCGCATGTAAAGTGAACTTAATTTATTAGTGTTTTTATGTTGCAATGAGCACTTCAATTATGTCGCCCAAATTAAGATTTATACCAACCAGAGTTTAAGCATTAGCTCCCTAAATGCGGCATTATTTACCGTTTTGTTATTGATATTTAACGACTTAATAGTTCGTGATGAGTATTATTTCGATTTACAATTTAAGACGACTAAAGTAGATGGCAGAATAGTGGCTTGTGGAGAATTGATTCCGCGCGCTGATGCTCCACACTACCAATGGTATACTCACGTTCCACCACCTCATAAACACACTACTAAAACCACACTGTTGAACGCTAGAGAAGAGAACGGTACACCCACCATAGAAGGCCCCCCTGCGGTACATTGTAGAACCCAGCAGTACACAGTACAACCCAGCAGTACACGCGTGAATCCTATGGTACATCAACCGTGAAAGCTCCCTGTGGTACGCTAGATCTAGAAACCCTACGGTAAATCGAGCAGAGAAGCTGTCTAGAGTGCACTAGAGGCCCCCAATCCCCCCTTACGGTACACTCACCCTTGAGGCCACCGCCGTCAGTGGCCACAACCTGGACGGTGTACCGTTGAGTCTTCTCGCGGTCGAGGCAACAGAGCGCCGTGGTGATGAGCCCCAGCTGACTGTCGATGCTGAAGATGGGGCTCCCGCTCGACTCGTCTATCACATTCTTCTCCAGCGAGTAGACCAGGCGAGCGTTGTGGCCCTCATCGGGGTCATCGTGGTCCGTGGCCACCATCTGGGCCACCACGGTGCCTTGGGGAAGACGGCGTCAGTAAGGGTCACATCTTCCAATTTAGGAATGCTGTAAATTTCTTAGTCGTGAAAAGCTGAGAACTAAACTTTAACAGTAAGATGGTACTGCTTCTCTGTTTCGGCTTGACTGGTGATCATTTGACAAATATAAACACACACATAGATGTATAAATATATAAAATTATAATTTATTTAAAATTAATGTATGAAAAAATTGAAGAAAGCGTTTACTGAATGAGTCCAACAATCTATTACACGCAAATTCACTTCTTTTTCAAGAATCTATATTCAACTCTCACCAACTTAAATAACCCAGAACGATAAGTAGAAGAAGAATAGAATTTAGGGTTATACGCTTCAAGCCTATGAAATTTAGAGAAATTTCTTGCAAATATTAAGAAAGCTCAAATCATACTACAATTTTTTTGCTTTATGGAACTTCCTCTCAGCCTTCATGAGAAAACTATGAACAGTAATACCAAATTATAGATCAGATATGGTTTTAGTGGTATTCACCCTGAAGCATCTAAATGATTCACTTCATTCCGTAAATAAGTAAAATTTTCTTGGGCATTTGGCTGAAATTTTTTCACGTCTGTTGCGAAGAAATTTTTGGGATAAATTTCTACTATATATATATTAACTGATGGATTGGATATTAATGTTTTCTTGTCAAAACTGACTATTTGTTTGGTGACTCGGTGAGACAGCAAACAGTTGGGATTTTATTATGGGAAAGAAAAACTTACATTTATCGTCTAAAAGATTAGATAGCTTTAAGGGGGTTCAATTGATGTATTTTATTTATTATTATTATTTTCAATTCATCATAATTATCACATGAAATTGTAACAGCTGACGCTGCAACAAGTCTGGCATTCCGTGCCCCACACGACACAACTCTATGAACCAAATATGTTAGCCTTCTCCAGTAGGGCGGTAGAGCTGATGGTACCAGAAGGAGCTGTACCAGATTATATGTTCCATCAAGGACCATATAATCTCTTCCCACAACCAGACTATCACCAGAGAAGTCTTAACAAACAACACAGAAATCATCGATAGATACAGCGATAGCAGGCGCCTTGACATATGTTACGGACCCGAGCCCAGCGTCCGAGCACGGAGCAGTGACGACCGCGCCATCTGTGGGTCAGCTCCCGAAACCCCCTCCAAATGGACGACGCCACCTAGTGAGGACAGGATATACCGGCCACAAGGGCTGGTTTCCCGTCCTGATCAGCTCATAACACAGCCACTGCTGACCTCAGGTGTGGTGACGCTTAGACAGCAACGCCATCTATGGAGTGGATAGGTGGGCGTTTGTGTCTAAGCCTGTAAGTGAGGTGCCCTAGAGTGTAACTAGTACTGATGACGTGTCTGATTACAGAGTCGACCTGGGACTGCTGTAATGAACGTTGGATCAGTCTACCAAAGGCAGCCGTAGAACCTCCAAGTGTTTGCTGCAGAAGCTGTGAGTCACCCCCCGGATGAACACTGTTGTGTTAGCCTGCCTGTGAGGTGGCAGGACCTGGAATTGTCGTACCCGGGGCTGACTAGTGGAGAAGACTAACCACTGGGGTGTTATGGTGAGGAGAGTGATCTGTGGAATCACACGAGGCTCCTGCCTAGGGCTCGCAACCCTAGTATCGGTCGTGGATTGGCCTACGCAGCATTGCTGATTGGAACCTGCCAGCTAAAGGCTGGATTTGTGGTTGACGGCCTCCACGACGGTGCACCCAGTGGGACTGTGATTCGGCTAGCCTGTGGCCGGGGTAGACTCGTCGAGGGAATCAAAGGATTCATCGTGAGGCCACAAGAGAACCAGGACCACTCGTCTTGAGCACCGTGAACGTCCAGAGTCTTCAGAGGAAGACCACGTTGTACATAATAGTGTTTATACCTCCCCTGTGTGATAATCTATATATTATTTATGGTAATGGTGATAATTATATTATTAAGTTTTTGCCTCTGTCTCCCTTCCCCTTTAATTTACTTGCGTTACGGAGCAGACCCCTTGAAAGCCACTACTAGCTTGGGGCCGGATACCCAAACTCTACTAACATCAGAGAAAGAACCCAGTTGCGACCCGAGAAGGCCGTAACAACATATGCAAGGCACTACACATCAAAAGGTCAACACCAGCAATCAACAGCCAATTATTGCACAACTAAATTCTACCCACTTCAAGACTCCGTACCAATATAGAAGCATCAAGAGGAAGTATGGGCCAATAGGCACTTTGCAGTTACTTCCATTCTTCCCTCTCATTTATCCAATTAATACCCAATGTTCCGTGTTCTGCCTTGTGTTGGTCAAAAGTTTGTTCACCTCATCCAAAACTGTTGCAACATATCACCTCACCCAAAGGCGAGTATATAAGACAAGTGTTAGAATAAGTAAAACTCTGTTTAGTGTTTTCAGGTTACAGTTGTGTTTGTGTAAACTAAAGTCTTTGAAAATGTAATAAGTTATTATGAAACACGTTCAAGCGTCGCGTCAGACTAGAAATAAAAATGAATTTTGGAGAATTGATTTTTCAAATACCATCGACAGTAAAAAAGAAAAATAACAGATATTGAGAAAATTCGTGTTAGAATTATTTATCTTACTTTTTCAGTCATATTTAACAACATATAATATATATATATATATATATATATATATATATATATATATATATATATATATATATATATATATATATATATATATATATATATATATATATATATATATGTATATATATATATATATATATATATATATATATATATATGTGTATATATATATATATATATATATATATATATATATATATATATATATATATATATATATATATATATATATATATATATATATATATACATATATATATATATATACATATATATATATATATATATATATATATATATATATATATATATATATATATATATATATATATATATATTATAGGGGTACCACCTCTGGTGAGATCTCGACATGACTACGAAGGTTTCTGTTCACAACAAACATTGGGATTCGAACCATTCTTCCGTTAATGAGATTTAGTCATAAAATCGTTTTTCACCACTTCTCTTCAGAGATAATTTTGTCGGACCATTAACTCAAGCAAAGACGGTCATTAACTACATGATCTGATAATACAGGAAAAAACACAAATATATAAACACTTTCGTTCGTTACATTATCTAGAGTAGAGAGACAAGGCAATTTACATGACAGAAGATTATATACACAAAATGTAAGTTTATATACAAACGAGGGTGCTTTACCTTCAACTTTTCCAGAAACTATGTAATACACAAATAATTTTCTTGTCGGTAAAAAGGAATTTTAGTTTTAACAGTCGGGAAAGTTACCCATTCCGCAATTTGAACAGGAACGACCTGTCTTTGCAAAAGTTAAGGCTTACCTCGTCTATGTACGCGCTCTTACGTCTGGCAGGAGCTCGCTCCCATTATGAAATATTAAAATCATACCTTTAGGAAGGTTTTGCATATTGTTGTCATGGCGATAATACGAAGCTTTGAGCATTTGTTGACTCCTCGGGAACTTGGTAAGAGATTGTAGTGACTGTGTGGTTGTGGTACTTTACCTTTGGGCGTGTCCTCGGAGATGGTGGTGGTGGTGGTGTGGGAGGGGAAGTACGGAGCGTTGTCGTTGACGTCCTTGAGGTTGACGCGTACGTCAGTGTGCGTCTCCAGCTCGCCATCCGACGCAGTCACCCGCAGTCGCCACTGAGCCCGGCCGTGGGGTGGGTCACGGTCCAGGGGCTGTAGTGTGGGCATGGGGTGGACACGTCGGGTTAGTGTGGGTGACACGAAAAATTAGAAACTACGGACATAATATGAGTGATTGTTTGTATGGATAACAATGGCTTAGAGTCATTACAAGATCCACCTGCTATTATACATGCACTAAATTTAGTGTTAATGGTCTGCTTTTGTAGTTTCTTTTAAGGCACTTAAACTAATGCAACGTTAACGATTACTTTTCTCCTTCCTCTGAAACACATAATTAGTTTCGGCTATGGTCGTGGTCAGCGAGGTCAATATTGGTGCCACTATGTTTCACGTTCAAAAAAACATATGTGCAATAAAATTTCACTGACGTTGTCTTACTATTTTTTCTATGTGATATTGAAATCAACACAGACAGACACACATACGGAGAGCCCCGTGGAGCGACCTGACCTGACGGCCAATGTGGGACGACCGCCGTAGAACTGCCTGGTTGTTCTTGTTGAGTGGTGACTGGTAAGTGTCCCCCTCTCTCTAAAGTATTCAACAGTGTGCAAGGTTTATTTTATATCATATAGTAGTCACATATAATGCATTTCATTTGATAATAGAAAAGCAATCTTGACAGATTGATAGAGAATGAGGCAGTAACCTCACTATGAGCTCAGTTGGGACCTGAATGATGCTGTTAATCCCTACACTCACACAAGTCAGGGTAACACAGTCCCTCCTTCCCCTTACACGTCAACTGGCCACCATAGAGAGAGTGATATACAATGTCCCTCCTCATCCCCCCCACCCCACACCACCCTCCCTCCCTCCCTCTCTCTCTCTCTCTCTCTCTCTCTCTCTCTCTCTCTCTCTCTCTCTCTCTCTCTCTCTCTCTCGCCCTCTCTGTTCTCTCACTCTCTCTCTCTGTCGCCCTCTCTGCTCTCTCTCTCTGTCGCCCTCTCTGCTCTCTCTCTCTCTCTCTCTCTCTCTCTCTCTCTCTCTCTCTCTCTCTCTCTCTCTCTCTCTCTCTCTCTCTCTCTCTCTCTCTCTCTCTCTCTCTCTCCATCTCTGTTCTCTCTCTCTCTCTCTCTCTCTCTCTCTCTCTCTCTCTCTCTCTCTCTCTCTCTCTCTCTCTCTCTCTCTCGCCATCTCTGTTCTGTCTGTCTGTCTGTCTGTCTGTCTGTCTGTCTGTCTGTCTGTCTGTCTGTCTCTCTCTCTCGCCCTCTCTGTTCTGTCTGTCTGTCTGTCTCTCTCTCTCTCTCGCCCTCTCTGATCTGTCTGTCTGTCTGTCTCTCTCTCTCTCTCTCTCTCTCTCTCTCTCTCTCTCTCTCTCTCTCTCTCTCTCTCTCTCTCTCTCTCTCTCTCTCTCTCCCTTCCTCTCTCTCGCCCTTCCTTTTACGCCCTCGTCCTCTCCCTCTCTTGCGCTCTCCCCCTCTCTCTCCTCTCCCCCTCCCCCTCTCTCCCTTTCTCGCCCTCTCTTGCGCTCTCCCCCTCTCTCTCCTCTCCCCCTCCCCCTGTCTCCCTTTCTCTCTCCCCCTCTCCCTATCTTTCTTGCTCTCTCTCTTGCCCTCTCTCTCTCTCTTGCTCTCACTCTCTCTCTCGCTCTCTCACTTGCTTTTTCTCTTTTGCTCTCTCTCACTTACTCTTTCTCTTTTGCTCTCTCTCTCTCTCTGCCCCCCCCCCCACCTGCCTAACCCTATTAAAACATATCAGGGAAAGGAATAAGATGGCAGGAGGATGCACCAGGGACACAGGAAATAGTCAAAGTGACCAAATGAAGGAAATGTTAGCCCAAGTTTTGAAGGAATTCAGGAGGGAGAAGCATGAAATGAGGATTACAAATAACACCCTGCAAAGTGAGCTGACATCAGTGAGGGATTAAATCCCTCACAGAGAAAAATAATTAGGCTGAGCATCAGATTATCATCTAAAGGGAAGGTGGATATGTTGCATTGGAACATATCCACCTCTGGATATGAAATTCCTCTGTGCCTGAAATATATGTGTAAATACTGAGAAAGAGCTCAGAAGCAATGGGCACAGTGAGGGAGGTAGCCATGCAAGCAGCTACCTCACAGGAAGCAACAAGGTGCACCAGTCAGCTGCTGGAAAAAAAAAGATCAGTGGTAGTTGTAAGCATTAATGAACAGGAAGGATCCAATAGACAGGAATGGAATAACAAGGACTGAGAGGCAGTGCTTGGGATACTGATGGGGGTTACAGATGGAAGGGGCTGAACAAACCATTGAGAAGGTTTTCAGGTTGGGCTGGTACAACAAGGACAGAAACCGACTGGTAATGGTGGTGTTTGCAAACGAGACAACGAAAGAGGTTATTCTCGAAAGGAAGAGTCATCTGCAGTATGTGGAGGAATAGAAAAAAAGTATTCCTACAGAGGGACAGGACGAAAGTGGAGAGAGCCAGGGCAGCAGAGGCAAGGAGGAAGCACAGGGAGAGAGGAGTAAACTAGGAAATCACAGCCGCAACACAACAGTCCTAGAGGCAATAGGGGAACCCACAACCAGTTTCCCAGTAACACCAGAGGGGAGGGCAATACCACCACCCACCTCTGCATAGAAACCCTTCCTACCCCACACCTTACCTGCCCCCACTCAAATGTTCACCCAACCCTCCCTCCCCCTACCTCATTCCGACCCTGTCACCCCTCCCCCATTCCCACCATGTCCTACCTCCCGCGTTTCTCCCCCTGTCCCACCTCCCTTCATCTCATACCCCTCCCTATTCAACCCCCCTTCACCCCGTATCCTCCATGTTCCCCCTATCTCCTTACCGCATACCCTACCTGTCCCTCCTTCCCTTGAACCCCCATCCCACACCCCAAAATCCTCTGAGACCCTGCAAACCACCTCACAGATCTCCACACCCAGGGAACAGCTTCCCACACCAGCAGAACGCTCACCAAGACGGGGACAAGAAAATGAACAGAAGAAAGTGAGCTTCAAGGCAATGTACACTGACATAGATGGGATTACAAATAGAACAATTGAACATGGAGAATGGGCACTAGAAGAAAACCCAGACATAATAGCACTCACAGAAACAAAGCTAACGAAAACCATAACAAACGCAGTGTTTCCACAAGACTACAATGTAAAGGAAAGAGAGAGAAGGGAGAGGAGGAGGTGGTGTAGCTTTGCTGATAAGAAAAGGTTGGAGTTTTGAAGAGATGGTTAATCAGGGTTGTGAAGGTTTCAGTGAATACATATCAGGCACCATAGCAGCTGGAGGACAGAAAATTATAATAGTAGTATAATATATAATATATAATATATAATATAATGGTATAATATATAACCCCCCACCAAACGACAGAAGACCCAGACAGGAATATGATAGAAACAACATAGCCACCATCACTTTAATAGAGAGAGCAGCTTCTGTGGCTATCAAGAACGGATCCAGACTACTAATCATGGGATACTTCAACCACGGGAAGATAGATTGGAAGAACAGAGACCCACATGAAGGACCAGACACATGGAGAGCTAAGCTGCTGGACGTGGCAACAAGAATCTTTCTAAGTCAACACGTAAAGGGACCGGCAAGAATGAGACGAGAGGATGAACCAGCTATGCTTGATCTGATATTTACCCTAAATGAGTCGGGTATAAGGGAAGTCAAGTTGGAAGCCACCTTGGGAATGAGTGCTCATAGTGTATTAATCTTTGAGTACCTGGTAAAACTAGGAATTATCTCCCTCAAAAAAGAACTAGGAGACAATGGGCTGGCGTACCGAAAGGGAAACTATGAGGAGACGAATAAATTCTTAAGGGATATACCATGGGACACTGAACTCAGAACTAAGTCCGAATATCAAGAACATGATGGACTATGTCACCCAAAAGTGTCAGGAGGCAGTAAACAGGTTTATCCAGGCCCGACAGAAAAAAAAAACGAGAAGCATATGATCAATCCATGGTTTAATAGGGAATGTATGAAAGCAAAGGAGCTGAACAAAAGGGCGTGGAGGAACTTCCGAAATAACAGAACACCGGAAAGTAGAGAGAGATACCAAAGAACCAGGAACGAGTATGTTAGTGTGAGAAGAGTAGCTAAGAAAAGGTATGAAAATGACATAGCTAATAAAGCCTAGACCGAACCAAAGCTAATACACAGTCACATCAGGAGGAAAACAACAGTGAAAGAACAGGTGATGAAACTTAGAATGGGTGAGGATAGGTACACAGCGAATGCCAAAGAGGTGTGTGAAGAACTCAACAAGAGGTTCCAGGAGGTTTTCACAATAGAACAAGGAGAGATCACGGCGCTAAGAGAGGTGGCAGCAAACCAGGCGGCCTTGGAAGGGTTCGAAATTACAAGAGATGAGGTCGAGAGGCACCTATTGGAGCTGGACGTGAGAAAGGCTGTTAGGCCGCACGTAATCGCACCATGGGTATTAAAAGAGTGTGCAAGAGCACTCTGTTTGCCACTCTCCATAGTGTATAGTAGGTCACTGGAAACGGGAAATCTACCTGAAATATGGAAGATGGCTAATGCAGCCCCAATATACAAAAAGGGTGACAGGCAAGAGTCACTGAACTACAGGCTAGTGCCCTTAACTTGTAAACCATGTAAGGTGATGGAGAGGATCGTCAGAAAAAACCTAGTAACACATCTGGAGAGAAGAGACTTTGAGACAACCCATCAACATGGGTTCAGGGAGGGTAAATCTTGCCTTACAGGCTTAATAGAATTCTACGATCAGGTGACAAAGATTAATCAAGAAAGAGAAGATGGGCAGACTGCATTTTTTTTGGATTGTCGGAAAGCCTTTGACAAAGTACCCCATAAAAGGTTGATGCATAAGCTGGAGAAACAGGCAGGAGTAACTGGTAGGGCGCTCCAGTGGATAAGGGAGTACCTAAGCAATAGGAAGCAGAGTTACAGTGAGGGGTGAAACCTCAGATTGGCGTGAAGTCACCAGTAGAGTCCCACAGGGCTCGGTACTCGGACCTATCCTGTTTCTGATATACGTAAATGATCTCCCAGAGGGTATAGACTCATTCCTCTCAATGTTTGCT